GCCCATTAGCCAGAGCAGGTTGGCCTCTGAGCATACTCTTCCCAGTATGGCAAGACAGAGCTCCAGGCCTTCCAGCCTGGCCAGCCCACAGATTAATGGAAACCACCTGGCACGTGAGGGGACTGCCGCCCCAGCCCCCACTCCCTCATTCCCATGAGCATCTGCTTCTAATGAGTGCCCAGCACTGCTGCATACCAGCCCCTAGGGCTCATTAATCTCATTAGGCAATGACAAATCATCTGAGGGTTAAGCAGGCCCCTCCCCAGGCCCCTTCCTCCAGCCTCTGCAAGCCTCTGGCTAGCCGAGTCCACACAGATCCACACTCAGATGTGGCTGTCTGTGGCTTCCTTGCTCTGTGGTCTGGGAGCCTCATACTGTGACCAGGACACCCTCAGAACCCCTTGAAAAGTCCGGTGGCCTGCTGCATGCTTGGTGAGGGATCTGGACAGACCAGCAAGGGATCAGAGGAATGAGCCACCCACCCACTCTGTGCACTTACATTTCTGCCGGGGGCTGTTGCTCAGTGGTAGAGCGACAGTGGTAGAGTGAAGGGGAGGGACTGGGTTCCATCCCCAGTGCCACCAAGGAAAAAGCACCAGAACCAGAACCACTTGCCCAAGCAAGTGCAGGGCTGTCAGGCTAACACCTGCAACTCGGGATTCTTTAGGGGGGAAGGGAACAGCTGTTTATGAAGGCACATGCTGTCCAGGGAAGACTCCTCTATCCACAGAACAACTTGTTTGGAAGTCAGTCCTAGTCCTGCTTTCTGGGTGAGCATCCTGAGGCTGGGGAAAGCACAAGAGCAAGCTTAAATCCTAGGACTTTTTACACTCCCCTGGGTGACACACAGGCTTGGCCAGGCTGAGGGGTGGCAGGACACAGGGCAAGGCTCAGGCACAAGATGTTGTGAAGTCTGGGCCCTTCCATGTGCCCCCTGCCGGCTGCCCACGAACCGCCTCCACTGGGCCCTGTTTTGGGTTCTCTGATAAAGGTGGTCCCCTGGCTCCCCACCAGCCTCTCAAAAGACCCTCCCAGACACATCTCCACTCTGCATCTCCTCTGTCTTCCTTCTCCTGTCTTTCCTGGCCAGACTCACACAGATGTCACGTGCCATCTGCCTGAATCCTTGGTCCTGGCCCTGTGCTGCAAAATAGACATCATGGCCAGACATGGTAGTGCACACCTAAGAGGTACAGGCAGGAGGATCATAACTTCAGACTCAGCCTGGGCAACTCAGTGACTTAGCAAAGGCCCTGGGTTCAATCCCCAGCATCACAAAAAACAAAACAAAACAGACACTATGCAGCAGATCTCCTCCCTACTCTTGACCAGGAAGGCGACCCCTCCCCAACACACACACACTGACACATGACCCATTCCCCAAAGGCCCTGGGCTCTTGGGATGAGGCCACCACGTGGGCAACTTCGGGAGCAGTCTGGGCCTGCTGTTCTCTTCCTAGTCCAGTCTGGGCCTCCCACGGGCTGCTCGCAGACAGTGGGACATTAAGCTGCCATGGACTCCATGCCCAGCCCAAGACGGCTGAGGCCAGTGGACAGAGGACTCAGTGTGTCCTGAGCCCCAGCCCCATGCCAGCCCTGGAGGCACGTCTGGGATGAATAGGCCCACAGTCTTGGGGGTCATCTGCCCACGGTCTCCCAACCCGAGCATGAGAATCGCCTGCATATCACACAGAAGTTTCCCAGGCCCCCTCAGCCTGACCGGAAGGGTTAGCCTCTCCAGGAGAGGGGTTCAGGATGTCTTATTTAGGGCCCTCTCCCCAGCCTGGGAGTGGTTCTGATGGTTCATCTTCTGTATCAACTTTGCTCTTGGCTCTCGGTTGTATGTACCACACTCCACAATTTAGTTCAACACTAGTCCAGCGGGGCACAGTAGCTTGTGCCTGTATCCCTGCCACTGCAGAGGGTGAAGCAAGAGGATCACATGAGCTCAGGAGTTTCAAGCCAGCCTGGGTAACACAGTGAGACCCAGACTCAAAAAATAAAGCAAAAACAGTACTCCAGATGTTGCTGTGGAGATATCTACCATCAGTAGGCTTAAAAGAAAGATGACCCTTAACAATGTGGGTGGGTCTCATCCTGTCAGGTAAGGACTCAGGAGGAAAAACCGAGGCTTCCTGGGGAAGCATCAGTTCCTGCTGACCTTCCCGCCAATGGTCTGCCCTGTGGGTTTTGGACTTGCCAGTCTCTGGTCATGTGACCAGTTCTTTAAAATACCTGTCCTGGTGTATGTATCAGTTCAGTGGGGTGTGCAGGTCACAGACCTTGCCCAGCACCCCTGTCCTGCTCACAAGCCTCCCCCTCAGTGGCTCCATTCTTCTCAAGCCACATTAGCACTTTCCTCTCCTTTCCTCCCTCCCTTCTTCCCTTCTCTCCTTCTTGCTCCTCCCTCTCTCCCTCCCTCTTTCTTCTTTTGAGATAGAATCTCACAGTATAGCCCAGGCTGGCCTCAAACTCTTGAGCTCAAGCAATCTTCCTGCACAACACAAGCTCGGGGCTGGCTGGGAAGACGTGTGCCCACCTCACCTGCCTTGTCCTTTTGTTTCTTCACCTCACCCAGCACCCCAGGGCTTTGTGAAGCTTCTCTCCCCATCATCCCTGCAAGAGCTGTGTGCAGCTAGCTCCCTCTTTCCTCAGTCCCTTCTGGCCCTATGAGCAAGTCCTTCCTCGTTCTCACTACATAAATCAGCACCTGCTCCCCTTGCTTCCCACCCCTGACCCTGCTTTGTTTTCTCAGTGTGTCTGTCTCCCAACATATGACACATAGCTTTGCCACTTCCTGGGTCTCACAGGAGAGGGCGAGTGTGTGGGGAGGCTCCCAGTCTGCTGTGTTCACTCCCAATGCCTGCAACAGAGTCAGGCACAGGGAGGAGCTCCACAGTCTTCTGAAAACCAATGAATGGAGTGATTCATAACAGAGTAGGGCTCAAACAGGGCTGGGAATTCTTTTTTTTTTTTCAGTTCTGGAGATCAAAGCCAGGTCCCCTTTACCCGTGAGCTACATCTCTAGACCTTTTAAAATTTATTTTGAGACAGGGTCTCGCTAAATTGCCCAGAATGGGTTGGAACGCAACGTCCTCCTGCCTTAGCCCCCAGAGCAGCTGGGATTACAGGTGTGAACCACCACACCTGCTATGGTACCCTTTCTCTGGCCCATACTCCTCCCATACCCCTTGGCTCGGCGCTGAGTCAGCCACCCATCTCTCATACATCTGATTGTCCTGTGTTTCTGGTCCCTTCCAGGCCTTGCATGCACTTCCACTACGATGCTGTACATTTGCACAGGTGGGAGGGAGAGGCCCGTCTTGTCACCTTCATCAGAAAATATATCCTGGTGAGACGGAAGTCAAGGAGAAGGCGGCAGACCGATGAGGGCAGCAGAGAAGATGAAGAGAAGATGCCTGGAAGGCCCCTGAGCTCGGAGCAGTGCTCCAGGTGCAGAGAAGGAAGAGTGGCGGCTGGCAGCCGGTGCTCTCTCTGGGTAGGGGAAGGGCAGGAGGGGGAGCTGCCTCCCCCCAGAAGACCCCGGAGAGCACTTGGTTTCCTGCCACTCAGTGCTCTAAAGACTAAGCCCACCTGAGGGAGAAGGCAGCTCCCCAGTGGAGGAGCATACTGTCCTGTGTGGTGGCAGTGTGGGGTCAGCCTTTGCTCCTTGTCAGGCCCACCCTCTGTGAGCTGCAGAGCCCGGACAGATGTGGGCCCGAGCTGTGGACCCCCAGGGCCCTGGCCTGCCCCAGAGGTAGCCCCTTTGCTCTCCCACCAACCCACCCAGGCCACCAAGTGGCCTCCTGGGGTCAGAGGACTTGGCTTTCCCTTCCACTGTGAAACAAACAGGCGGGGGCAGGGGGGAGCACAGACAGCTGTGGAGGCAGGAGGTCTGCATATCTTGTCCTGTTGAAGTTGTGAAGCCGTCTCCATCTCCCTTTAGCGCTCTGGCCTTCACAGCTCCTACTCTGACCCTAACAGAAACTCCAACCTACTTGACACCCAGATGCACAGCATTGTTCTGGTCTCCACCAGCCTTCGGGCTTGGCACAAGGAGACTGCACACTGTCTCCTTTGGCATCTCCCACAACACTCCTCCAAAGCTTTCGGGCAAAGCGGCACAGAGGGGCCAAGGGCCCTGTCAGAAGAGTTAGTGATGCCTGGCAGGAGGGGAACACAGAGTCCAGGGGCTTGGAGTGAATGTGGAGAAAGCAACAACCAGCCTCAAGGGGAGAAGGTGGGCCAGGTCTGCTCTGAGTTGGGCACCAGGACCCGAAGCCTCCGTGTGGGCTGTGGTTCTGGGAGCCCATGAAACAGGGAGTTTGGAGGGGCTGAGGCAAAGCCCCTCAGGTGGCAGGTCAGGTGACTTGCCTACCTCTCCCAAGTGCTTGTCCCGAGTCACAAACACCCTTTGACGTGGCCCAGGCCAGGCCTCTGGCATTGCCCCCTCACTTTCTCCCTCAAACCAGCCACAGCTGGACCTCAGGCACTGCCTTGAGGGAGGCTCTGGTGGCTGGTGTAGCCTTCAGATCGATCGCCGATCTACAGAGATCTGCAGAGAACTGAGCTTTAAAGCAGCCCAGAGGGAAGGAGGGGCCTAAACAGGATCAGCTTTGCCCTCCTCTGGGCTTTGTTTGTTGATCTGTTGATTTGGTTTTCCCGAAGGAGGAAAGAGGCTTCAGTCACATTAAATCCCCTCAGCCCTTTCATGCTGCCCCCCCCCCAGGAGACAGCCAGCTAAAGGGCTCAGCCCTCTCAGCTAATTGCTCATTAAAGGGTGTTAATGAGCTCCCTGCCCCACCCCTGCCAACTGCAAGGATTCCCTGCTTCTCCCCTCCCTCGATGCTCTTTCTCCCAGACCAGCCCGGCTATCCCGTGCCCGGTGCTCAAGTCCTGGCAAGGTCCATGTGGGTCTGACATGGCCCCACATGTTCAGGGTCACTCAAGCACCCTCCGACCCACCATCACCTCCACACCCCACCTCAACCACCACTTACAACTTCTCCAGCAAGGACAGTCCCAGGAAGGATCCATTTCGGAGCACGGTGATTTTGTTGTTGCTCAGGAGTCTGAGGGGACAGGGAGGACATAGACGGAAGGTACAGTTAGATGCAGGAAGATGCGGGTGCACCCAGGCTCCTGGCCAGATCTGTGCTGCATTCTGTGAACATGGCACAGCAGCCCCACCCTCCATGTAGCCAGCGCTCTGAGCCCCAAGGCAGACATTTCACCTGCCTGGAGTCTCCCTGGAGGCTGGATCTGACTTGGGGCTCCCTGTGTGGGTAGGCTGAGCAGGTGTGAAGTTGTGATTCCCCTTTCTACTTGGGGACCCCAGGATTGAGCTCACAGCATCCCCAGCCTGCCCTTCACCACTGACTCTGCTCAATCCCTCAGCCCAGCAGCCAGCGCAGAGCAGTGGAGGCCTCTGCGGGCCAGAGCTTGGCCCCAGGTGGAAGAGGCAGGTGGGGAGCTCCCTTCCACGGCCTCTCCAACACGCCTAGCTGCTGAGGACCCCAGGGAAAGTGACCCAGTTCAGAGGGCCTGAGCACCCTGGGCGGTTGGGTCGCTGTTCCCTTTCCTCCCCTAGCTTGTCTGCAGCTTTGTTTTGGTTTTGGTTTTTTGGTACTGGGGATCGAACTTGGGACCTTGCGCTTGTGTGGCAGGCGCCAGAACCACTGAGTCCCTGCAGCTTTGATAAAAAAAGCTCCCTAGCTGGGGATTTAGCTTAGTGGTTCCGCCACCTGCCTTGCAAGGACATGAGTTCGATCCCTAGTACCAAAAACAACAACAAAAAAACCAAAACAAAAAAAAGCTCCCTGAGCTCCGGTCTGGGGGGAAAGACAGGTCTCAGCTTCACACTGTCTCTGGGAGTCCTGTGTACTCGGTTGTGTTTGGAGCACTTCTCTATCCACCCACTCAGCATTTCTCTGCCAGACTTCCCACTGGGAGCAGAGTTTGGACCGGCAAAGGGCTCATCCCTTAACTGCTTATTTGAAAGCCATAATGAGCCTCTGGGCTCTCCAGCCGGCCAGAGTGAAACCCAGTGGTTCCCTCCTTTGCTCTGCAAAGGGGTGGGAAGGCTGCGGTGCCTTCTCCAGAGTGGCCAGCCCTTGGGCCCAACAGCGAGGGAGAGGAGAGGGCAGAGTGGGGACAGGCAGAGGGGCTGGCATAGGTCTGTGCTCTGCTTCCTGCAAGGTAGAGGGTGAATGCACAGTGAGGGCCCCCAAACGTCTGAGGGTCATCTTTTGCATGTGGGGAGTGAACCCAGGGCCTCTACACTGAGTTACATGCCCAGCCCTTGTTTTATTCTGAGATAGCATTTGTCCAAATGGTTAAATTGTTCAGGCTGGGCTGGAACTTCTGACCCTCCTGCCTCAGCCTCCCAGAGTGGTGGGATTATAAACATGTACCACCACGCCTGGCTCTTTTTAAATTTTTTTTAATGTGGTACTTAGGATCAAACCCAGGGCTCTGTGCATGTTAGGTAAGCGCTCTACACTAGGTTACATCTGCAGCCCCCTGCTCCATTGGTAACAGGCTCCGGGACAAGGGACAACTGTGGCCTAATGGAGGCAGGAGCTGAGGAGGGGCCTTTTCAGTCAGTGGGAAGGGGTGGAGGTCTCATTTCTTTGTTTTCTCCCCACCCCAGATAGACCCCTCCCACCCTCCCAGTCTCTGCCTGAGGGTCCCTGCCATAAGTGACATTTCCCAGGGCGTTCTAAAGAATGATCCAGAAGGGACTGTGGCATTTCCAAAAACACTTCACATACACATAACTTTTTTTTCCCCTTTGATTTTTTTGAGACGTGCCTCCCTATGTAGCCCAGGCTGGCCTCAACTGGTGGCTATCCTCCTGCCTCAGCCTCCCAAGTGCTGGGATTACAGGCATGCACCACCACAGTCAGTTTACTGTTTCGATATTTCAAAAGTTACCTCAGAGGTCTGGGGCTGTAGCTCAGAGTTATAGAGTGTGTCCAGCATGCCTGAGGCCCTGGGTTCTGTCCCCAGCAGCACAAAAGAAATAATCCATCAAAAAACTAAAAGTACTTCACACCAGATACTATATAAAAAACCAGAGCTTTCATGAATGCCATTATTCTCATTTTATAGATTAAGATCATTTTATTTTGCATTATACACTCGGGCTAGTAGTGGTAAACTACAATCACTCACCTTAGCTCTTAGGGCTTCTAAATTTCTCCTCGGGCCCCAGGAGGGCTGAGTGGCCCTCAGTGGCAATAGGCTCTGGATGGTGTGAACTAGGTCTTAAATCACAGCCCACCTCAGCCCATCCCCAGTTCCTTCCCTTCATGCACCCTAGAGTTTTTGCCAATTATCTGAGAAGGAAAGGGGACCCCTCAGTCCTTGGGAGCACCACAGAGGGATGGATCTCTGGTGTCCATTCTAGCCTCCCCCTCCCCAGGGGCCTCTCCCAAGGACTGTCCCCTCCCCAGGAGAGGGAAAAGGACTATGAAAACTTAGGGGGTGTGGTGCAGAAAGGAGGAATGGGGCTCCCTGATCAGCACAGCAGCATCCATAGGGCAAACCTGAGAAATTTATATGGATAATCTATGAGAGAGAAAAAAATGTTTGATTTCCTAGGAATACATCTGAGGATTCCAGTTTGGAAAACACTGACTTTAAAAATCTTATACTATGGGGCTGGGGATTTAGCTCAGTGGTGCCGCCACCTGCCCCGCTAGGGAAAGGACCCGAGCTCAATCCCTGGTACAAAAAAACAAAACAAAAAATCTTATACTATGGCCAGCAGTGGTGGCACATGTCTGTAATCCCAGGTCTGTGGGAGGCTGGGGCAGGAGGATCACAAGTTTGAGTGAGCTTGTGCAATTTAGTGACTTAGACTCTGTCTCAAAACAAAAATATAAAAAGGGCTGGGGATGTAGCTCAGTGCAAAGGTGCTGAGTTCAATCCCTAATACCACAAATAAATAGGTAGATAAATCTTACACTCTGAAAATGCTTTCCAGGGGCCAGGGATTTAGCTCAGTGGTTCTGCTACCTGCCTCACAAGTTCGAGGACCTGAGTTCGATCCCCGGTACAAAAAAAAAAGCTTTCCAATTAAAAATTATCTTAATTTTCCATAAAAGTTTTTTATCTTTAAATCTGTAAAAGGTTTTTATATAAAATATATAATACTAGCCAGGTGCGGTAGCATACACCTTCCGTAATCTCAGCTACTTGGGAGGCTGAGGCTGAAGGATCACAAATTCAAGGCCAATCTAGGCAACTTAGCAAGTCCCTGTCTCAAGATAAAATAAACAGGACTGGGGATGTAGCTCAATAGTAGTATTTACCTAACAGGGGCTGAGCCATGGATTCAATCCCTAGTACCACAAAAGAAAACCCAACAAATAGATACTAAAATGTTCTCCCACTCCCAGATCTCTAAGATGAAAAACTGGGATCCCAACTCGAGGACCCCTGACCAAGGGCTCTAAGGGAAGGTGCTGAGGAATTCCCACTTTTTCTAGGTCCTCAGCCCCTGACCCAGCTCCTCCCACATACCCGCAAGTCCTTATCACAGAACCAACCCACAGAAATAAGTGAGCAGCATATGTCATTTTAAATCTTCTAGTAGCCACATTTTTAAAAGCTTAAAAGTTTTAATAATATATCTTATCAAATCTAATGTATCCAAAATATTATCACTTCAATATGTAATCAATATATAATTTGTGTGAGTATGTGTGTATAGTGCTGGAGATTAAACCCAGGGCCTTTTGTAGACCAGGCAAGCACTATGCCCTCCTAACCTTATATAAAATTATTAATCAAGCTAGGCACACACCTGTAAGCCTAGCATTCTGAGAAGCTGAGGCAGCACAATCTCAGCTTTGAGCCCAGCCTGAGAAACTTAGCTTAATGAGACCCTCTCTCAAAATTTAAAATTGGAAAAAAAGGGTTGGGGATGTAGCTCAGTGTAGAGGCTTTGAGTTCAATCCCTAGTACCAAAAAATATAGCTAGATAGACACACACTCATGCACGTATGCATGAATACACCAGTGGGACAGTTTCCTTGTGTGTACATCATGTCTGGGGTGTATTTTACTCTACCAGCACATCTGAATTCAGACCAGCCACATTTCAAGTGTCCACATGTCTCTGCAGGGTCTAGGGGAGCAGGGTAGAGGACCCAGGAGTAGCCTGAGGAGGCCAGAATGAGCTCTGGCCCAGAACAGCTACCTCTGGCCTGCCTGTGGGGCCATCTGCCAGCCATATCCCACCCCCCAGCCTGTGCCCAGACTCCTGCACTCCTCCACCCAGGAGGCAGACAGGTGGGGGCGGCAGCCCTGGCTCCCTGCTTGCGTTGCCTGGCACAATCTCCAGCCCTGAAAGCCTCAGACCCTCGCTTTTCTCACTGCAGCACACATGGCCCTTGCCCTTGTCCTCTGACCACCTTGAGGCGGCACCCAACACGCAGTGTCTCATCTCCAGTGGGCTCCCTTCCCACCACACCGCCAGTTCCCAGGACTGGAGAAGACTCAGGTGCCCACACACTCAGATTGGATCTCCCAGCCTTGGCCAGCTGTCCAGGTCTCAGGGTTCTGACTTTAGACCCTGACCATCTGGATCTAAACAACTGCTGGTTCTGTACTTAAGTGCACAGGTCTGGGATTTTTTGGTTTTTTTGGTACTACAGATTAAATTTGGGGCCTTCTTTCTGAACTACATCCCTTATTTTATTTTTTATTTTTGAGACAACGTCTCACCAAATTGCTAAATTGCTTGGGCTGGACTTGAACTTGTGATCTTCCTGCTTCAGCCTCCCAGAGTGCTGGAATTACAGGTGTGTACCACCATGCCTGGTTCACTTTTTATTTTTTTGTGTTGCTGCGGATGGAATCCAAAGCCTTGCACATACTAGGGAAGTGCTCTACCACTGAGCAGCACCCTGACCCCAGGACCTGGGGATTTTACAGGCAGGTGGGAAGCTGAAAGTTCAGGGCATTAATGGGACAGATGAACACACACTCCACATAGCTTCATCCAATGGGAAGAAAAACGTTCCCACCATTCCTGGCTGCCTCGGGGGAGGAAAACAGGCCC